GTTCTTACTGTTTTGCTTTCTTTTGAATGTGCAGCATAACCGTAACAATAAAGTGACCAACACACTTGCACCTCTGTTAGTCACTGTGTTTCTGTCATCTGAATGCTAAGATGTGTGTGTGTGTGTGTGTGTGTGTGTGTGTGTGTGTGTGTGTGTAATCTTCAATTGTGTTAGCAAGGAAGCAATGATCATTGCTTTTAAAATGTTAGCTCTGGTAGATTTCAGAAAATTTCTTATCAAATGTCAGTAGTTTTCCATTTGTTGCTGCTTAACATAAAAACAACTCAGAAGTCGGGCTCCCGGCAGACTCTGCCTTACAAGGTGCACCTCTTAGAGAGGCAGGCTTTAAATCTGCACTTTGCCTTTTCTCCTAACAGAGAAAAAAAATGTATCTATTTTCTTGTGAATTTACAAAAAAAATGTGTAAAACACTCTCTGGAACTGATCCAGTAGAGAGAAGTTGAGGCTTTTCAATGAAACGACAGCAAGCAAAGGAAAAAACATAACAAGACTCTATTTCAAGCCTTAGGCCTTGTGAGGCCTCTCTCCCATACATCTTTCTGAGTGGGGCTGATTACAGCCTATCTTGTTGCATCACTGAACAAACTCTGAACAGAAACTGATGTAAGAATACCAATTTTTTATTTTTAAAATAATTTTAAAGCCAATTAAAGAAATTGAGTTGTGTGTTCAACAGGGAGACATTCGTGGACGAAATGAATTTATGCTTCCATAATTTTATGAAATACAAATGGAACAGGATGTAGTTACATGGGAGGACAACACTGTCACATCTAAGCACAATTTTACATGTTGGCTGAGACCTTCCTTTCATTCATTTAGATACTCATTAAGCATCAAATTATATCATACTGGGCAGTGTAGGGGACATTCCACAACAAACTTCTTCCCCCAGTCACCATGTTAAATAGAAGTAAAACTTTATGTTTAAAATTAACTATAAAACTCCTCCAAGCATCTTAGTTCACTCTACTGAGATGGATACCTTTCTCAGCTATGAAGTCTTACAAGCACAGTAGACAGTGGTCTAGAACCTGTAATTTACATCCTCAAAGTAGATTCTAACTGCCTTTGATTGACAGACTTAACAAATGAGAGGATTTCATTTGGAAAATAACTCCTTACCCTAACAGCACAGGGAGTCAGTCTGAGTGCTGAAGATGTGAGCGCTCTGCACCTGCTCCTATTAGGTCTGAGTGCCAAGCTTAGTGCCTGCTTCTCATAGCACTCCCTGTTCTAGCAAACACAAATCACCAGCGACGAAACTCAACATGGAAGGCAAAGCACACTTAAAGCCAAGAGAAGGAAACGAACTAAAGAGTATGTAAGACTCTTGACTTTTCCTTTCTGGCATTTAGTAAGTATATACAGATAATCAATCACTAATCTATCCAACTCAACGCTGATTAGCGAGTTAAATGACATCATCAAGTGCAAAACTGCAGACTCGGCATCCATGCAATGTGAATTAATTATAATGAATGGCCACTTCATTATTATTTTCTAACATTTTAGTTTTCACTCAAAAATGCATTTACAAAGATTTTTATTTATTCCTGAAACTAAAAAACAACATTTATTTATTTATTTATTTATTTATTTGCTTATTTATTTATTAAAATCCAGTCACCAGACACAGGAAACAAAACTGTGCTCAAGCACAATTCAATATATTCCGTCTGACTATATAAATTAATATCTGAAGAAAGCCTCTAAAATCATTTTAAAGGACTCTCAAGTGAAAAATTGGGACTCCCCCCCCCAGTTTCATAACACATGTATAAATAATTGAGTGAGTTTTGTGAAGCTTGAAGAGTAAAATCTGTGTTTAAAATTATTTTCATTGCTGTTATAAAGGAAACATGAAGTTTACCCTTTAAAGCCATTAAGTTCTGGCACCTGTGAAATGGCTCATCAGGAAAAGAAGGGCACTTTCCACCAAGTCTAATGACCTAATGACCCTGGGACCAGAATGAAAAACCATCACAAGTTGTTCTCTGATCACCACATTCAAGTTATCTGCACATGCACACACGTACACAACCAGTCAATACAATGAAATAATTAATTTCTTTAATTAAGTGATATTTGAAGGGATCTTTTATCTAGTCCTTTAGATTCTAATTTCAAAAAAAAATAATTATCTTTTGGATTTGCCAGCATTTCATTTCTGGGCACTGGCCATGCAAGGCTCAGGAACTCCTACATCATGTTCTATTCCCAGTCCTGCCCTCATCCACTTTGATGGTATCTCTACTTCTGTTATTTTTAATGAGGTGTTGTATTGTGATATACAAAAATAATGATGTCCACAAATACTTCCCGCTCCTCCACCAAGAGTAACAGTCTCCCTCCTCACTCTTTAATCACTTTACAAAGGTTTTTGTTTGTTTGTTTGTTTTGTTTTTTTGTTTTTGTTTTTTGTTGTTGTTGTTGTTGTTGTTTTTTGTGGAGTGGTCTTTGTTTCTTTCTTTGTGGCTTGCACTCACTTTGGATTTTGGAATCAGAGTCTAACACTGGAGCCTTGTTGTACAGCTCAGGCTGTTTGTAAAATTGCAGCATGTCTCCAGCCCCAGCCACCCAAATGCAGATAGAAAGATGGTCCAAAAGTTCCTGATGTAGTAGTAAAAAGTCCTTTTCAAAAATCTTACCTTTGTCAGAGATGGCCTCTGTTCCTATTATTGGGGAACCCTCTTGGACACTGAGCTGCCATGGGCTACTTCTATGCAGGGGTTCTAGGTTATCTCCATGCATGGTCCTTGTTTGGAGTAACAGTCTCAGAAAGACCCCTGTACCCAGATTTTTTGGTTCTGTTGCTTTCCTTGTGGAGCTTCTGTTCCCTCCAGGGCTTTCTATCTCCCCTTTCTTTCAACACTCTGCCCAAAGTTTGGCTATGAATCTCACTCAGCATATGCTTTGATACCCTGCTGGGAAGGGGGAACAGCTTTATCTGTCCAGAGAGGAAGACAAAGAAGCCAGTCCTGCTGAGATCAGATAAACTAGGGTCAGATGGAAGGGGAAGAGGACCTCCCCTATCATTAGACTGGGAGAGGAGCATAGGAGAAGAAGGGGAAAAAAGGGTGAGATGGGGAGGGGATGGGGAAGGGGGCTATAGCTGGGATACAAAGTGAATGAGCAGTAATTAATAAAAATAAAATAAAAATTTTAAAAATCTTACCTTTAGTTTGTCTTTTTCTTAGTAAGGAGATCAAGAAAAATTACTATTTTTGAGTTGCAAACTGAACTACTCAAGTTTTAATGTGAAAATCTGAAAATATGACTCAAAATCAAATTATGATTATGTATTCCTAAATATAGAAGAGACAGACACTTCCCTAAAAATGAGCAAAATACATGTAAAACAGCTGACTGTAGTTGTTACCAATAAAGAAATTTGAGATTTCAAGTATAAATTAAAATTTTAGAACAAATATTTTCCACCCTGAGCTTGACATCATTCCATGTCTAAGAGGTTTGGTTGATATAATCTCAAATGTTATTAGCAAGTACTATTTTTAATTATATAATTAAGTATAAAATTTAATTTGTCAATCTCCACATTTTTCAAGTGGCCAAAGTAACAAAAAATTATGCTTAGGTTATATAAATAAATAAAAAGTAAGACAAACAACTAGGTTTTATTGCAATGGAGTATGAAATACTCTTGAGGTAAAGGATCTATATTCTACTTAACCGTTAGGAAAACATCACAGCTCCTGGCACACTATAAAAGAAGAACGGCAGGGGCTGGTGATATGGCACAGATGTAAAAGCATTTTGTGCTCTTGTAGGGGACTTGAGTTCAATTCCAAACACCCACAACACAGCTCACATCTGCCTGCAACCCTAGTTCCAGGTGATCCAAGCCCTCTTTTGCCCTTTGTAGGTACTGTATACACATTCACATCCCTACACAAAGACAGAAGTACATAAATAAGAATAATAAATCTTTTAAATACAGGAAGAAGAATGGCTACAATTTTCTAAAGAGCTATTTTCATTTCATAAAACTATGAAAGGCCAATTTTTCCATATACATTAGCTAAAATCATAAATTCAAAAAAATTGAATGCAAAAGCAGGTAAAAGAGTCCAACTTTCTTCTATCTAGTATTAGAGTTGAGAAAATGTGCAACACTATAAAACACAGTTTCTCCCTTCATGAATTTTGAACATAAAATGGATTGTCTGTGATTATATGAATTAATAAATATTTAAAGCATTTCTCAACTTTATCTTTAATTATGGTCAATATTTGCGGAAAGTTAAAAAAAACTTTTTGTAGTTCTTTATCAATAGTATTAAAGGTTTCCTTATGTGTGTGCATGTGTCTGTGAAAGGATGTGCACCTTTGTGTGCAAATTTGAGACAGAGGTAAGAAAAGGGCATCAGATCCATGATAACTGCAGCTACAGGCATTTAAGGATTCAGGGCTTGTCAGTCAAGTGCTAAGACACAAACACTCTTAACTGCTGGGCCATCTCTGTAACCCAGCTTTTATTAAATTTTGAGAATGAAAGTCTTATATTTTTGGTTGTAAGCTTAGCCTTTAATGGCTGAGCCATCTCTCAAACTAAAGTCCAACTGGATCAAAGAGCTCAACATAAAACCAGACACACTAAATCTGTTAAAAGAAAAGGTAGGGAAGAGCCTTGAACTCATTGACACAGGAGACAACTTCCTGACCAGAACACCAATAGCACAGGCTCTAAAATCAACAATCAATTAAGGGGACCCCATGAAACTGAAAAGCTTCTGTAAAGCAAAGAACACTGTCATCAGAACAAAACAACAGCCTACAGACTGGGAAAGGATCTTCACCAACCGTACATTTGGTAGAGGGCTAATATCCAGAATATATGAAGAACTCAAGTAGTTAAACACCAACAATCCAAATAATCCAATAAAAAATGGGATACAGAGCTAAACAGAAAATAATCAACAGAGAAATATCCAAGAGAAACATTTAAAGAAATGCTCGTGCTTGCTTTGTAAGCACATATACTAAAATTGGAATGATACAGAGATTAGCATGTCCCCTATACAAGGATGACACACAAAATTTGTGAAGCATTACACATTTTTTTTTCTACCATTGGACTGGGGGGAGAGGCATAGGAGAAGAAGAGGGAGGGAGGGTAGGATTGGGAGTGGATGGGGGAAGGGCTACAACTAGTCTACACAGTGAATAAAGTGTAATTAATAAAAATAAAATAAAAAAATTTTTAAAGAGAAATGCTCAATGTCCTTAGTCATCAGGGAAATGCACATCAAAACAACCCTGAGATTTCACCTTACACCCATTCCTACATTTTACATTCCTATATTTTACATTCCTACATTCTTACATTCCTAAGATCAAAAACTCAAATGACAACATATGCCAAAGAGGATGTGAATAAAGGGAAAACCTCCTCCATTGCTGGTGGGAGTGCAAACTTGTACAACCACTTTTGAAATCAATCTGACACAATCTTAGAAAATTAGGAATAATGCTACCTCAAGATCCAGTTATGCCACTCCTGGGCATATATCTGAAAGATGCTCAACCATACAAGGACATTTGCTCAACTACATTCATAGCAGCCTTATTCGTAATAGCCAGAACCTGGAAACAACCTAGATATCCCTCAACCAAGGAATGGATACAGAAATTGTGGTACATTTACACAATAGAATACTACTCAGCAATAAAAACAAGGAAATCATGAAATTTGCTGGCAAATGGATGAAACTAGAAAAGATCATCTAAAGCGAGGTAACCGAGAAGCAGAAAGACACACATAGTATATACTCACCTATAAGTGGATATTAGACATTTAATATAGGATAAACATACTAAAATCTACGGTCCTAAAGAAGCTAAACAACAAAGGAGGACCCTAGGGAAGAGGCTTAATCTTAATTAGAAGGGCAAACAGGAGAAATATCAGAAGCAAGGGAAGACAGAGAACAGGACAGGAACCTAACACTGAGGGCCCCTGAAAGACTCTACCCAGCAGGGTATTGAAGCAGATACTGAGAATCATAGCCAAACTTTGGGCACAGTGCTGGGAATCTTATGAAAGAAGGGTGAGATAGAAAGACCTGGAGGAACCACTGATGATTGATGGAGATAACCTAAAACCCCTGCCCATGGCAGTTCAGTGTCCAAGTGGGTTCCATAATAATGGGAACAGGGACTGTCTCTGACATGAACTGATTGACCTGTTCTTTTAACACCTCCCGCTGAGGGGGCAGCCTTACCAGGCCACAGAGGAAGACAATGCAGCTACTCCTGATGACAACTGATAGACTAGGATCAGAAGGAAGGGGAGGAAGACCTCCCCTATCAGTGGACTGGGGGAGGGGCATGGGTGGAGAAGTAGGAGGGAGGATGGGATTGGGATGGGAGGATGGAGGTAGCTACAGAGGGGATACAAAATGAATAAACTGTAGTTAATAAAAATAAAAATTAAAAAAATACCTGGAGGGGACAGGAGCTCCACAAGGAGACCAACAGAGTCAAAAAATCTGGGCCTAGGGGGTCCTGCAGAGACTGATGAATCAACCAAGGACCATGGAGAGAACCTAGACCTGCTCAAATCTAACCAATGGGCAGCTCAGTCTCCATGGGGGTTACATAGTAAGGGGGGCAGGAGCAGCATAAACTCTGTCATAAACTCAGTTGCCTGCTCTTTGATCACTTCCCCCTAGTGGGGAAGCCTTGCCAGGCCACAGAGGAAGACAATGCAGACAGTCCTGATGGGACCTGGTAGGCTAGGGTCAGATAGTAGGGGAGGAGGACCTCCCCTATCAGTGGACTAGGAGAGAAGAATGAGGGTTGGGGGAGTGGGAAGGAGGGTGGGACCTGGAGATCAGGAAAGGGGCTACAGCCAGGATACAAAGTAAGTAAACTGTAAATAATAACAATAATAAATGACATTAGCCAAAAAAGTAAATTATCATGAAATCAAAATGTTTGAAAACTGTTGCCTTAGAATATTACATTTCAGTATGAAAGGTTACTAATAAAAAAGAAGGCTAATGTTTACTGAGTGCTATTAAAGTACTGGGCTTACCCTTTGGGCCTTTCATTTCATCTTGGTCCCATTATTTAAGTAAAGAGAGAGAAGGGCTCAGATAAGTAGAGAGGTGGCTGTAGTAGTGATGATGGTGGTGGTAGTGGCTGAAGTGGAGGTGCCATCAAAGCCAGTGTGTGTGTGTGTGTGTGTGTGTGTGTGTGTGTGTGTGTGTGTGTGTATCATAGGATTAAAGTATTAATATCCCTTACTTAAACCTATTGGTAACACAACACAAATCTCATTCTGTTTCTTGCTAATGCAAAATCACACCACAACAATCTGAGAATAAGAAATCCTAAAATGCCCCCAAGTCATGCTCAATAATTATGCAGTCAATAAAATACGAACAGTGATATGTACAGTTAGGACTGGGGTCCTGGCTTCAGCCTGCTGGCCCAGAAGCCAGGCCTGCTGTGTAAGCTTACTGCACTTCCACATCCTCCTCAGAACACCAGCAACATCCCCTCTTCTACTTTCTAACAATGGTGTGATGATGACACAGAATTGGGCCTAGAGTAAGTCCTAGCACAGAAAATGTCTCTAGCAGTTAATTGTGATGCCAGTGGTGATGAAACAATGATAGATGGTTCTTCAATGACGTTTCTACTCAAAGAAAGTACAGGATCTCCAAGGGTACACTGGTTACTTGTCTTTCTTTATTAAAAATTCATCTCTTGGAAAGGAATCATACATAGTTAACGCATACGCTTCTGAATGTTTAACAGTATTTAAAAGTTAACTAAGCAACCGTCTTTGAGTTTAAGTATATACACGAGGCACAAAGTATTCAAAGAGAAACAAGGCACAGAGCATGAACTTCCAGCCAGCTTCAACTCTGACTAACAAAGCTCCTCTTGGTGCCTGCTAGCACCAACTCAAGTATCACAGCTCCCATGGCCTGTGCGCGTGCTTATGCATATCTCAGAACAGCATTTATTCACTTAAATCTCAAGACCTGTGTTTTCTCAGGCAAACTTACAAGGGAAAAAATTCAAGGAATGTAGCTTGACAGAAAATATTACCATCAAAGTGTGATGAAATTTTCTACATCAAGGCAAAAAAAAGATGAAGGGAATTAATCCACTGCCATACCAAGACAAACAGGAGTTTAGATAAGACATTAGGGTTTTACAGTGATTTTTTTTCCATCATTCTCACATATCCAGAAGACAAATGACACTGATACCTGCTCACAATATGCTTAGCAAAAGAAGACAAAATAACACTTTGGACATAGTACAGCTGGGAGTACAGAGCCACAGGGAAATCAACATCATTCTGCCTCACTATCCCTCTGTCCCAGAATCATCTTAACCCAATTCATTTAACTGACCCTTAACATCTAGCAAACTAGAAATGAATAAAATTAGGATGAAACTTCTGCCTTATAATTGGAAGCGTGATTTACATATGGAAAAGAATTTCATAGTAAAGCAAAGGACACTGTCCTCAGAACAAAACGACAGCCTACAGATTGGGAAAGGATCTTCACCAACCCTATATCTGACAGAGTGCTAATATCCAGTATATATAAAGAACTAAAGAAATTAAACAGCAAAAAATCAAGTAATCCAATTAAAAAATGGGGTACAGAGCTAAACAGAAAATTCTCTGCAGAGGAATATCGAATGGCAGAGAAACACTAAAGAAATGCTCAACCTCATTAGCCATCAGGGAAATGCAAATCAAAATGACCCTAAGATTTCACCTTACACCCATCAGAATGGCTAAGATAAAAAACTCAAGAAACAACACAAGCTGGAGAAGTTGTGGAGAAAGGGGAACCCTCCTCCACTGCTGGTGGGAATGTAAACTTATACAACCACTCTGGAAAGCAATCTGGCACTTTCTCAGACAACTAGGAATAGCGCTTCCTCAAGATCCAGCTATACCACTCCTAGGCATATATCCAAAAGATTCCCAAGCATACAATAAGGACATTTGCTCAGCCATGTTTGTAGCAGCTTTATTTGTAATAGCCAGAAGCTGGAAACAGCCCAGATGCCCCTCAACTGAAGAATGGATGCACAAATTGTGGTATATCTACACAATAGAATACTACTCAGCAATAAAAAACAAGGAAATAATGAAATTTGCAGGTAAATGGTGGGATCTGGAAAAGATCATCCTGAGTGAGCTATCCCAGAAGCAGAACGATGCACATGGTATATACTCACTCATATAGACATATATAATATAGGATAAACCTACTAAAATCTGTACACCTAAAGAAACTAACCAAGAGGGAGGACTCTTGCTAAAATGCTCAATTCCTATCCAGAAAGGCAAAGAGGCTGGACATCAGAAAGAGAAAAGAGCAAACAAGTCAGGAGCCTGACACAGAGAACCTCTGAAAAGCTCTGCCCTGCAGACTATCAATGCAGATGCTGAGACTTATGGGCAACCTTTGAGAAGAGTGCAGGGAATCTTAGGAAAGAAGTGGGAAACAGTAAGATCTGGAGAGGACAGGAACTCCACAAGGAGAGCAACAGAACCAAAAAATCTGAGCACAGGGGTCTTTCCTGAGACTGATATTCCAACCAAGGACTATGCATGGAGATAACCTAAGACCCCTGCACAGATGTAGCCCATGGCAGTTCAGTATCCAAGTGGGTTCCATTGTAATAGGAACAGGGACTGTCTCTGACATGAACTGATTGGCCTGTTCTTTAATTACCTCCCCTGAGGGGGAAGCAGCATTATCAGGCCACAGTAGGAGACAATGCAGCCACACCTGATGAGACCTAATTGACTAGGATCAGAAGGAAGGAAAAGAAGTCCTCCCCTATCAGTGGACTTGGGGAGGGGCATGCATGCAAAGGGGGAGGAAGGGAGAGATTGGGACGGAGGAGGGAGAGAACCACTGGGGGGATACAAAGTGAATAAAGTGTAATTAATAAAGAAAAAAGAAAAGAAAAACATCACCCAATAACATATTTTAGATCACAAAAGTCAAATTAAATAGAAAATGCTCAAGCACCAGGCTAATGAGATGCTCCTGTGGGTAAAGATGCTTGCTGT